TGGTTTTTTAGTCGATGTATTTTTAACATCCATTTAATTTTGAAGATCGCTATTTACCAACATCGATGTGTTGTTATCGATGTCTCATCACTAATATGTGGGCGGGGCGGAGGCGGAGGCGATGGCGGGGAGGGGGGGGGGAAGGGGATAGGACGTAGGCGGGAGATGCGTCGCGCAGCTCGGCGCATTTAAGGCAGGCGGCTACACCTGCTGGAGCTCAGAGCGCCAGCAACCTTATCTGTCGTCACCGCCACGCCTCGCCCGGCCACGCCCCCTCGCCGGCATTGTCTTCTCCCGAGCACATGAGGGCGCGCCTCCCGGCAGGTGAGTGCACACAGTGAACAACGGGAGCCTGGGTACTAGCCATAACAAAACATCGATGTTCAACATTGAAATTCCATGACAAAAATTTATCAACGAAAAACCATCGATGTTTTTAGACTCGATTAACATGCTCTAACTTTACAATACAAGTTAATTTGACAGTGTTCGTGTTTATCAATTTTCTGAATAAAGGTAGAAGGTGCTTACCCGACGGTTTCGTCCATTTGTTTCGGTTTCAGCCTATTTGTTGGCAAGATCTCAATGTGTAAAATGAATATGAACAGGAAATACAGTGGCATAGAGATCATCTCGGGCTAGATAGTTTGATCGTTGTATAGTGCAACCAGCAATCCTTTGGTTCCAACACATGAACAACAGTGTTATTGTCAGTTATTTCACATTTTAACTTTTACAGTATTGTGATCATGGGAGTTTTTAATTCAGAAACACAACATCGAAAAAAACATCGTTCACAAAACAACGATGTTAATAAATGATTGGTGTAAATTCATAACTTTTATCATCAACTTCTGCAAAAGCCACAGTGAACAACGGGAGCCTGGGTACTAGCGATAACAAAACATCGATGTTCAACATTGAAATTCGATGGTAAAAAAATATCGACGAGAAACCATGAATTTTTTTAAAGACACGATTAACATGCTCTAACATTAAATTCGTGTGCAATACAAGTTAATTTGACAGTGTTCGTGTTTATGAACTCGCTGAATAAATGTAGAAGGTGCTGACCCTACGGTTTCGTCTATTTGTTTCGGTTTCATCTACGGTTTCAGCCTATTTGTTGGCAAGATCTCAATGCGTAAAATGAAGATAAACAGGAAATATAATGGTATAGAGATCATCTCGGACTAGAGAGTTTGGTCGTTGTGTAGTGCAACCAGCAATCCTTTCATTCCAAGACATGTATAACAGTGTTACTGTCAGTTATTTCACATTTTAACTTTTACAGTATTGTGATTATGGAAGTTTTTTATTCAGAAACAAAACATCGTTCGCAAAACAACGATGTTAATAAAAGATCAGTGTAAATTTATAACTTTTATCATCAATTTCTGCAAAAGCCACAGTGGACAAAGGGAGCCTGGGTACTAGCGATAACAAAACATGGATGTTCAACATTGATATTCGATGATAAACATTTATCGACGAAAAACCATCGATGTTTTGAGACACGATTAACATGATCTAACATTAAATTCGTGTGCAATAAAAGTTAATTTGACAGTGTTCGTATTTATCAATTCGCTGAATAAGGGTAGAAGGTGCTGACCCTATGGTTTCGTCTGTTTCCGTTTCATCTACGGTTTCAGCCTATTTGTTGGCAATATCTCAATGTGTTAAATGAATATGAAGGGGAAATACAATGGCATAGAGATCATCTCGGGCTAGAGAGTTAGGTCGTTGGAGGTACTGCAATCAACTTTCCTTTGGTTCCAACACATGAATAACAGGGTTTACTATCGGTTATTTCATATTTTAACTTATACAGTATTGTGATCATGGGAGTTTTTTATTCAGAAACAAAACATCGAAAAAAACATCGTTCACAAAACAACGATGTTAATAAAAGATCCGTGTAAATTCATAACTTTTATCATCAATTTCTACAAAAACATTGATGTTTTGAAAACATCGACATGGATGTCGCATCCCTTCAGGGTACGCGTGCCCCCGCCCCCTGTGGTGTGCAGCGACGCGTCTGAAGATGATTTGAGGGAGCACGAAGATCTTATTTATTGATCTATAAAAGTCTCTTCATGAAATGAACGAGGATTTTCTCCAAAATTGATATTCTACAATACATCTAAACTAACTCGAGGCGCTGCGTGTTTGAAACGGATATTTTGATTTTGGGAGGTACTTTTCAAGAAGCCTCATAAACATTTTCAAAATTTTCTCATAAACGGCCTCAAGTATTTCTATTAAATTTTGTTCTTGGTAAAAAAATTCTAAAATAATGGAGCGGGTCTTGTTTACGTTTAAATCCTTGATTTTGATTTTCAATTGCCAAAATTCAAAATTTTATCTACGTCTTCTTACTACCAATATTTAAGACAAATATTTTTCTTAATGAAATCTGTTATTCAAAGACAAATCTTCAAATAGGTTTCGTACAATTTTTTTGAAAATATGAGAGGATTGCACGTAAATTTGTATGGACCATAGGCATTTTTTTTAAATGTGCAAATAGTTCGTTTTTTTTCTAAAAAACTGTTCCAAAGTTTTGCTTTAAATTTTCCCTTCGTATGTATCTGGGAACAGTAAAAAGATGGCCCAGGTTCCCATTTTCGACGAATTCTTTGTAATACATATTAAGTAAATTAATAATTAAAAATAATAATATTGCAAAAGTACAATATTGGTAATCGTGATTTTTATGTAATATGAAATTGGTTCTACAAGAATTAGCTTTCTAGGTCATGAACAATTTCATACAATAAAGTAGTTTTCACACATTTTGTATTTGAAGTTAATGCAGTTTTAAAGAAAAAAAAAATTCTTTAATTTTTTTCGTTGCACGTAACAAAGAACGGCAAAGAAAACGATGCTCATCGCATTTTCGGTGAACTCTCTCTATTTGAAAAAAAATATACGTGAGACAAAAATTTGGAATAAAAGTTACATTTTTTAAAAAGAATGTGAATAATTTGTGAACGGAAGAAGAAACTCGTCGCCTTACAGAATGCGTAGTTCACATGGAAAACTCATGTAAAGCAGTTTCCGCGCTTGCGCTACTGTCCTCAAATGTTTAAGTCCGAATTTCGATGCTTCATCTGTTGAGAGCCATAGCTGCGTGCAAGTCTCATAACATGAAAAATAGGATAGTCTCTCCCAGTAGAGAATTCATTTGTTTCACAGCCTCCTTTGCGGGGACGTTGTGCATTATGCGTGATTTCTCCCGAACCTACTTCTTGGTGAAGTCCTCTGATAAAATATCGTCACCCAGGTCTCCGGTAGAATTCTAAAGATATTGTGATCCCATGCGAATTATAATATAGTTTTAGAAATGTTTTAAAACAGTGGCGGGTTTGAGTAATGAGTGCTGGCGGCAAATTTCTTCTCATCTCTCTAACGACATTTTTTTCTTTGCCTTCCAACACAGCCGTTATAAGACCATGGCTTTCAATATGCCTCTGGTCGAGTGAATGTATGCACTTTTAGCGGCGGCAGAAGAACGTGACAAAAGCAAATGAAGTCTATATGTCCCTATCGCACCTCAGATACTTGGTTGTGACTTTTATCATTGTTTTCGTTTTATTCTCGTGTGATGATCGCTTCCACTGTTCGCCTTAATTGTGGGATAGGTGAAAGCTTTGAGTTTCCAATCCCGCGGTAACAAGTACTCGCCAATATTTGTTAACAGCGAAATAAAGTTAATCATCGCCAGTCATACACCATTATACTTAGGAAGAACGGGCCAAGGAAATATATTTCAGGTATATTCAAACATCCTACAAATAAATAATAAGATAAGTTATGCACGTAAGTTAGTAATACGTAAGAATGTACACACACTACAAGTCAGATAATTTAATTAGATGTCAGAACATAAACGATAGAAGCTCCGTGAACCTGAGTAAATAGACAGTGGACACATGAATGTTTACACTTCCACGCCGTAGTTCTTCTTCCTTGAGTCTCTTGCACTCATGGAAATTACTTACAAGTTGAATGATTTCCACTGAAAGCTTCCCACTTCGAAGCAGCTGGGCAGTAGGAACGTCACAAGAATGAGTAGGCGGGGCCAGTGATGGTCGGCGTCGAGGGTGGACAGTCCAAGTAAACGCAAAGGCAATACGAGGCCAAGCAAGAATAGTATCCAGAATTCTAGCGGGTTTTCCTTGTGCAGGTATGGATTCGAGCCGCGGAAGCTTACGTATACATCTGAAAACAACCATGCTCTACGCAGGTTTAGAACACGCAATCTTACTGTCCGCATCCTTGAGCGCACCTGCTCAAGCTCTCCTCCCGCACGACCAACTATTTCCTTGATCTTACAACTTATACGAGTAAACACGATGCAGTAATGAAACATATGTGTTAAATACAACAATAGGACAAAAACAGAACAGTTTGATGTGACAGAGTCCTATAATGTGTTTGGCGACATTGGATAGGGATTTTTAGCGCCACGCGTAGGGTAGCGACGTTATGCTTTAACAGTCACGTGACGACCCTTGAAGTCATAACGTCTTACCTTAGCCCTAAGGAATGAGCTTATTCCGGAATAAATAGTGCACGTCTGTAGGAGTCTCTATGGCCAGATCGACAAAATGGCCGCCTACAAACAGGAAAGATAGAATTTTTGCAACTCTGATAAACCTATTATCGTATGTGAGGCAGTTACAATTATTCCTTACCAACTTCTCAACTGTTGTTGAGATCGTGAACTCATGGACGTAGAGGTGGTAGCACAGTGAAGTATCTACTCGTGTAATGAAAATACGAGTAGAGCTGTGTGGTGTCTACTCGCAAAGACGTGAAGTAGCAAAGCATCTCGGTGCGGTAGAATTTGAATCAGAAAAAATCACATCGCTTGCACTGTCGATCTATGTGTCTGGTGGCGATCAAGACGTCAAACGACAAAAGTGCATGTTAATCAGTAGAAAGAACTACATTGTACGGTAGCAGTAGTGGTCGTAGAATGGTGGTGCATGTTCCGTATATGGCTTAGGCCTCGAATTGATGAGTGTGATTTTATAAATTGTGGGGGCGGTGGTGGTGGTGGGGGGGAAAGTGGTGACATCAAGCGAGTTTTGTCTAGGGAGTCACGAGGTAAGTGGGGGAGAGAAAGTCTGGGATGATCTACATAGATCTTCATAATTTTTCAAAAATAGACAAGAGACAGCGAATGTGAAGGCATTTTGACTTATTTTGCTACAGGAGTTTCGGACGTAAGAATACGAACGGTGGATGTCTTAAACAATGCAGCTGGGAAAACAACGCTCTTTGAATAGCTGACCACGGGGTGCGTGATAATGGAAACGAAGAGAGATGATCGGGAGACAGGTCATGTTAGCGGACCGTGACCACTGGAGGATACAAAGGCAGCATCGGAGAATGAGGAGCAAATTGAAATGGGCATACTCAATGGTCAATTCACGCCAGTAGACGGTGATTTTTGGCCGTCTGTAAACCAGTTGAGCATTGCCGAAGAGTCTAACGGACAAAATCTTGAGTTATAGTCATTTCTTAGACAAACTCGTAACTTCTAGGCCTCCTAAGTTGAGAAGGGTCGAGCATATGTTCGCGAAACTAGAAATGACGTGTCTAATTATTTTTATATGGTTTTATGTTGTGATATATTTTAAATGGTTTGTGAAATAATTTAAATGACACGTTGCTGTTTAGAAGGCTTACTTATCGTATTGTTGACTACTAGTTTTCCAAGCGTTATGTGAAATCGCTATTATTTTATATTTATTTTTACTTTATTTTCTTTGTTAAGAAATGTGACGGAGTAGATGTATGGCATTTGGAATTATGAGATATATGAGTGCATACTTTTTTTAGACCCTCGTAAAATAATACCTTACTTGAGATCATACACTTGACTCTTTTACATTTGATGTTAAATGTTTTTTATTTATCTTTTTGAAAAAAAATGCTTCATTTACATGCACATTTGTAATAGACTGACGAGAAATTGAAATGATATTATTTGTTTCTTAATCGCTAAAGAAAAGTGGAAAATCATTGAAAAATATTCGGCAAGTGTTTGCTTTT